CCCCAAAACCCCAAAACCCCAAAACCCCGAAACTTAGAAAAATTAAAAAAAGTCTAGCATCTAAATAGAGAAATAATTTACAATTATCTAAATTTCTAATTTTCTATACAATCTTGACTATTGTGCTTATTCATTTCATTTATTATTGCAACTATTGCTGATGTTAAATGAGTTTCCTTTTTATTTTAATTTGATTTCCATTTTTATCCCCTACGACTATCTGCTGCGATGACTAGTTTTATTATAAGTTTGGAAGGGTGTCTTTTGATTCGAATTAAATTATTGGGCTTAATTATACATTTAATTAAGAAGCTATTTGTTTTCCTATATTTGGATGGTAAGGTTGTTAGTATTGCTAATTTGATTAACTTTACTATTTTTTGGGGATAGGAGGGATTAATTGGGTAACTGATTCTGATTATCTTAAAAGACCTCACCCTCCTGGGCCGCTAGACTAATATAAGCTACTGCTTGTTTACTAGTTAGAAAAGGGTTATTAATATTAGAGTTGATGTGGTTATTATAATTGCTATAATGATCCCTTCTTATGGGCTGATTATTCAGTCTAGTACTTAACTATCTAGGTTAGATATTCATCCGATTATTTAAAGTTCGTCTATCTAATCGGTCCTTACTATTTGAGAATACTCTTTACCGGAGTTGAGAATTTGCTAGTTACTGCCTTAAGAGTTGAGGAGAAAAAATTGTTTTTATTGGGCTCTCTACATCCAGTTGTTCCATTACCTCCTACATAGAGGAAAAATCCATCGCTGCCATCATTGTCTTCTAAAGGTATGAAATCTCTTGTTTGATACTACCTAATTCCTACGTTTCCGCTATTTTACTCAATGTATTTGAGCGATTACTCTCTCTTTACTGTGGTTTAGGATCTAAATTCTTTTTAGGTAATTGATTTTTATCTGGGGCTTAAATTCTCATATTGTCTTTGACTGTTGCACCCTTGGCTTGATGATTAGGGGTTTTCGTTTGTTTTTGAATATCTATTGTTTCCAAATTTTTATTACTAATGACTGATCTATTGAGCCTATGAGTCTTCTTTTTTATTGGAGAGCTAGCCTCTGAAAACTACTGTCGGAGACGTAACTTATGACAGCTATTGAGATGATTATTACTATTACTATTCTTATTACTGGAAGTAAGGCTATTATTTATGTTGATTAAATTATTGCTAGTTTTATTGAGATTGGTATTGTTGTTATTGCTGCTAGGATACAATGTGAAGTTTGCTTACTTGATCTAAACCTCTTTCATCATTTAATACAGATTTGTAATTTTGCATTCCATTTATTGACGAGACTTTCGATGAGGGCTGCTGCTGCTAAAGTCCGTCATTAGGCTTTTGATTTTTGTCTAGCTGTTTTATATAGTAATTATTTGTTACTATGAGGAATTTTGATTTTAGACTCCCTCAAGAGGCTGCTGCAAGTGGGTCTGGCTTCCTAATTTGCCTAGGCGGTTATTTTTATTAAGTATATACTCTCTGCTATCTTACAACATCTCTGTTCTACTCAATTCCTAGGCATTATGTAGTGATTACTTTGAGACTATTCTTCTATCTGAATGATTTCTGATTAAGTTGGACATTTGTAAATTCGCTGTATTGCTTTTGTTGTTGTTGCATCGCTGCTAGTTGCTGCTATTGGAGATGCTTGGGTTATTTAGGTTATTGTTTGGACTAATCGTTTAGTTGCACTACTTATGGTTCTCTTTAAGTATTGTCGTCTATTCTAGTTGTCTGCTCTTCTTGATGCTCGTCATTTTGCTTTGATCCATCTGAAAGGGGCTATGAATTCTTCTTTGTTAGCTTACTTCTGACCTAAAAAATTGAATTATAGTGATATCACATACTTATTCTGGTTCTATTAGATTTTATTTCCTGTGCTAGGAAGCTTAGAGACTGCCTGATTGAGATTATTTTATCCATCCGTTTGGTGCTGTTGCAATTGGGTTAGTGTAGCTCTATTATCAGCTATTAGTCTGACTCGTGGTTGCTGATTAGGGTTTCCAGTACTCAAGCGAGGCTGGTGTTGTTTAACTTGAATTGACAATAGTTCCATATTTTTCGAATTGGCTGGCTGATGTAGATTGGGGTTGAGCATTAATCTCTCCATCTAATCTTTTATAATTTATTTCTATTAGTTACTAGATCATCTGTGGATCAATTGCAACATTATTTACGAGGTGCTGTCTTTCAGCGGGGCCTGAGCTACCATAGTAGGGGTGGGGATGCTATGATGCTCTTCATAACTCATTTATTTTTAAGTCTTCATATAAGGTGTTTGATAATAAATTTGTCCCTTTGTCTAGTAAGCGCTATTTGATACATTTTCTTAGGATGATAGCCTTTTAATTTCTTTCTTATAATAATTGTTAAGAACTCATTAAGATACCTTCCTTCTGCTTTTTCAGTTCAATTAAGGAATCAAGAACAAATTAAGCTTCATGTTTTTTCTAATTCTTAAATGAATTGGGAAGCTTTTGTTGTTGTTATTTATCAGATGGACCCAAAAAGAAAAAGTTCTCTATATAATTAATTGTCAACTTTAGTAATTTCTAAACTTACTTTTTTATTAGTCGATAGTGGAAGTCATGAGCTTTGAATCAAAATTATTTTCTTAAACAATCTAATTAGCTGTTGTCTTTAATCTTTCAGTTCTATCTCCTGAGTCATCTTGTATATTTGCTACTGGAGTGGTATTATCATTAGCTGCAGGTTCACTGACGATTTGTATTCTTTTACGCAATTTAATAGTTTGATTTCCATTTGGAGTTTTATTCGCATTCAAACTGTTATTAAGAGAATTTATGTTACTTTTTGCTTTGTCCATTAGCATTTAACGATGATTTTGATCAAGCACAACTCCAATCAAATTTTTCTAAGTATTAGCTAATTTCTATTCTTGCTAATTTGTAGCTGGATCCACAAACTAAAATTGGCCATCTTCAGTTTGTTTAAAATTTTTAAGCCAATAGTAAAAGTTATATCTAAACCTTCTGTAAACATCGACTTCAATAGATTTTTAAGAAGCTATTTAAGAGTAGTTTTGTTTCCTTTGAGTTATTGGTTAAGTAGCATAACCATTACTAATGTTATTATTTTGAATTTTCAATTGGGGCTGCATTATTCTTAAAACTCTCATTTTAGAAGCAGCTACTTAGTATACTCGATTTTGATAATCGTTGAAAAATCCAACCATATCATTTGAAATTTTTTCATCAGTTTCTAGGTTTTAGATATTTAAGAAAGAATTGAATTCCTTCTTTTTCTAAGGAACGAAATCAGCAATTACATTTTGTTTGTAATCATCAAGCAAGCAGTACTTACTAGAAAGTTCATTTAATTAACCGATTTGCCTCTTGAATTTAGACTGAATGGACAACCTTGCATTTTTATCAATGATATGTGCTTGGTATAAATTAGGCTATGAGTAAGGTTAAACTTGTTACAACTCTTCAGCTATTCTCTGTAGAACTTTTTTAGAGCGATAAACTTGCTAGCATTATGCGGTAACAAACGCCCTCTTTGACTTAGGATCTTTTTTATCAATCAGTTAGATTGTTTTTTGTTATGAGAGTAATTTTAGAGAATTCTCTAAATTTTCACCATAGACTGAGTAAGTCATCTCTCTCAGAAAACCCTCTTTTTACTATTGTTTATCTGGAATTTAAGATTAGACCGTAGTAGATTATCCCTCATTATCAGCATGATCGCTCTCTTGCTCTTCATAAACAGAGCCTCCACTTTCATCTTTATCATTCTCCTCATCATACTCCTCTTCATTTAAGTTTTTCTCAGACATTTCAAATTGCCTCTGCTCATCAATCTTCAATTCATTGAAGTCCTCATCCTAGTCATTCTAAACTATTTTATTATTCTAGTCCTCATCGTAAATCTAATCGTTTTCAACCCCAAAAGTTTCTAAATTCTACTAAAACTACTCTGAATTTATATTGTTTTCGGAGCAGAACTTCTAAAACTCGTCTTAATCCATCATCCTCAGAGCATTTATTTCATCTTAAGTGAGAAACTCTTCTTCTATGATTTATTGGTCAAAGATGATTGAATTCTAAAGAGGCGTCAATATTTCATTTTGCTGCTCATCGATGCTAATATTTTCATTCATGTTTAATTTTATTTAACTTATTGTCTTCAAACAATTTAATTATTAATTTACATTAATGAAAACTTTTCTTTAAATTGCAAAGATCAACTAAGACCTGTTCTTTTAAAGAGCAGCAATAGTTTAGAACGCTAGATATAACTTTTCAAATGGAGTGAGAAAACCTAAGAATCATAAGAAAGAAGCAATTAGAAATGTTTTAAAGATGTCTCCTCATTTAATTCTAGGTGGAATATTTATTCTCACAGGTATGATATATTATTTTTAGATTTTATCAGCAAATAGTCATTTATTGCTTATTCCAATGATGACAGCAGGAATTCAATGGATGTATCTGAATCGTCATTTTGCCAATATGACTCTTTATTATGATATGTATAGAATGGGAAATAACCCGAATAACATAGCTACCTATAAGTAAACATTAAAATCAATTATTTATTCATGTAGTAAAATAAGAGAAATTCTCTTGACTTATCCAGAATTCTAACACTACATTGATTAGCCTTTGGAAGGTTCTGAATCTAAAAATCTCATAATTGAAAACCCTAAGTTTTAGCCTTTCAGTTTCACTGAAGCAGGCATGACTGGCAAACTAGATGAAAAAAGAACTAGATATTCATTCGACTGCGCCTTCAAAGACTTAAGTAAAAATGCAAGTGGGAAGGTCCATTCATTAATAATTTTCAATGAGAAAAATGAGGCCTATTTCGAGGTACTAACTGTGTTCTTTGATTCGCCAGTTGAAAAGACTATTAGAATACAAGAGAGTGAGTTCACTGAAGGATTTCGTGAGTTATCTAAATTTAATAGACCAGGTAAAGGTTACTCTGAGGAAAAACCAAAAGAAAGGCCAAAATCTAATTTTAGACAGTATTGAGAGTAGAAAATCTGGTATCACTAATTTAGTAATACTCAAATTTGCCTTGTTTATTAATTTAAATTTACCACTCATTCAATTTTAAGAATTTTTATAATATGGGGTTTTGGGGTTTTGGGGTTTTGGGG